CAGACTGTCCTTTGACTGGAACCTGAGATGACACTTCTTTGCCACCCCTCTCCTAAGACATCAAGTGGGATCCCCTCTTTCTGGATATTAAGGCATTTATAACCTGAAATACCCTATTTAACAGGAACTTTCTACCTTTACTTCTCAGCCTGAAACCAGTTCCTAGTCTGACCACCTTTTGTATGCATTCCTGTACATATTTAACTTTTTTCTCATTCTATGACTTTGCCCAAGCTTCCTTTGTTTCCACCAGCTGACCCTGTCTTGCTTTGCCTCTTTGTTTTTTCCCAAAATCACATCTCTCTTTGATTGACTAGCTTACGTCTCACTTCTCTTTTGAAGATTTCCCAATCTGACTACATCATCTTCATCATGGGCCAGTTGTACTAAGATCCTTTGGTTGATTAGCTCTGGAGAAATCAGGAGTGTTAGAAGGGCATTAGTGAGGCTGATCATAGCCCTAATAATTTGAGGCAGCACAGACCATGTGCCATATGAATAGAATCCATAGTGGATATGACTGATGAGTCTAGAAAACTGATGAGTCTCTTAGGGCAGATGTCAGGAAGGGCCTTGTCAAGAATATGAAACTTGAGTCAGGACTCAAAAGAAGGGCAAGGGATGAACAGAACAGGAAAGATGGTAATACAGGAGGAATTAGATGACTAAAGAAAAAGAACTAGTGATGGAATGAGAGCAGGCAAAACTAGAAAATCTTTTAGAACATTGGTATAGGTTACATTCAGATTATGATGGCCCTGGAAAGTCTGAGGGACATTCCTGAGAGCAGGAACCATAGATTCTACATCTTTGTTCTCACGGCCTGGCACAGTTCTTTGCTCTGAATGCTTTCTTTTGATAAGCATTAAGGAACATCTATTATGCTTAATTGGATTACTTGGACCTTTTCTTATAATAGAGACCATAAAATTTAGATTTTGATTCTGTAAGTGCTTATTGTTTAATCAATTCCTTCTGGAAAGAGATGAGTTTACTCACCAGGGACTTCCTTGGGTATTGGAGAAGAAATATCTGAATGGTAAAAAGGACAGATGAATTAACCACCCAAAAAATAATCTACGGCACCCAGCAGGTCTTCAACAGACACTATCTCTGTGCTGTGGGAGTTAGTGCTCGTGCTTCCACTCACAGTTATGCTCAGTTGTTGAACAAGTACACCTGGTATAGCCCTAACACACGCATTTGGTGTACGCATCTGTCCTTGTAGCATCATGACAATGCACTCTCAGAGTGAGGGCTGATGTTCAATTTGTTTTCTAGTGGTGGGGATGGGTTTGCCCTCTCTCTAGGTCCTCTCTCCAGCCTTTCTTATGTACAGCTTTAATCTGGAATCCCAGGTTAAGAATGAGTCATCAGCCTGAGAAGAGGGACCTTACCATCTAGGGCCATGGTCCATTTAGCATCACGTTCACTCCAAGGACCATCTGAATGTCCTAGGTGTTTGTGGGTATAGGAAGGTCTGTGGATCCTCTCTAGGCCCAAACGGAGAATCAAATTTGTTCACTTGTGCAGTTGGTGACCACTAAGAGGAGTTAACCTGCACTTGGAGCCCTGCTTCTCGGAGAAGAAAAGGAGTAAGAAGTTGAAGGATGCCCATGTGGCTCTTTTCTGTAAGTCATCCATGTGCCCTGAGTCGATGATGTCTTGGAGATACTTAAAGACAAGAGTCAGACCACTCAGTTAAAATGCCCTAATATTTGTCACAAGACAGGGCAGACTGGTGAGAGACCATCATTTATGAAGTGCTTTTGTGAGACTCAAGATGCAAGCATCACTGGTGGCTAAAGAAGGATCAAGGGAAGGTATCTGTCAGAAAGGAGAACCCCAAACAATTTCTATCAGTTAGTGAGCTTGGGTAAGCAACGTTTCAGTGGCAGAGACCTCAAAGCCCCAAGAGAAGAGGCCCCGGAGGTCCAGACTTTACGGACTGCCCCAGGGGGAGACGCCACACCCACCTCAGGACATCTCGGGCCACTGGATCATTCCCACCAGCTAACACAGCTCCTGAAATAGCTCCTAGTCTCGGAAAAAGAACATTCCCTTTGTCTCCACCTTTCCTTCCAGCTGTCCTTTTAATTAGCTGCTTCCTTTTACTTTCCAAAGAAGTATATGAAGAAGTATTTGGTAAACACTTCTTTCCACATGAAGTCCAATAACTGCAAATGGTCCCTCCTGGAGGCCCACGGGACTGCTCCCCATGGGAGGTACTGGAAGATGGGCAGGCACCTGGATCTTGTTGCTACTTCAGTGAATCAAGTCCCAGACATGGTCATGGAGGGAAACCAGCCTCAGAACGATTCCCACTTGTAGTGGGTATCACCCCGATTTTATTCCTGTATCGGAGATTTCATTTCAGAATGTGTCCTTTACTTGGAAATAGGGGCTTTGAGGGTGTAACTAGTAAAGGGGAGGTCATGGTGGATTAGGGTAAGCCCCGAATCCTACATCCAAAGACTGGGGACCTTAAAAGAAGAGAAGACCCACAGGGAAAAGACAGCCATGTGAACGGGGGCCAGAGAATGGGGTGATGCAGCCACAGCCAAGGAATGCCCAGGGTGGACAGGAGCCACATGAAGACAGAAAGAGGCTGGAAGGAGCTCTTCCCTGAACCTCCAGGGACAGCATGACCTTGATGACACCGTGATTTCAGACTTCCAGCCTTCAGAACCAGGAGAGAATAAATCTCCTTTCAAGCCACCAAGTTTGTGGTAATGGTTATGGCTGCCCTAGGAACTAGTGCGCCTCTCAGCATCGTACAAGGGTTGTGAGAGTTTTCACAGGCTTCTCCCTCCATAGTGGCTACTTTTCTGTCTCTTCAGTTCCTTTTCATTTCACCACAGGTTTCTCCCTGCCACACTCAACACAACCCTCAGGTCCCCCGTTTCTGGGACTGTTCCGGCTTCCACACTCCCCAGTGCAGCTCCTGGCTTCCCTGAATTCAGTGTGTGTCCATCTCACAAGGGCCAGTGCCTGCACAGAGAGGCTAACAGAGTGGCTAACAGAGTACCAGACCTCAAGCATCCCCACCTGCCACTAACTAGCTGGGACCAGAAATCATGCACTTGACCACTTCATGCCCCAGATCCTTCACCTGTAAATCACAAATGAACACCAGCCGGACAACCGCACAGGTCACTGAGCTGAAAATGTGATAGATGAGAAAGGCCTCATAAACACGAAGGCTCAATTAAACCTGCAGGGAGCTAGTCCATTATTATTAGAAACCTCGCTGAAGATGAAGGACCTGGCAAATTGAAACTACATTTCTGTTCTCACAACCCTTCCAATATACCTCCTCTCCTCCAGGTCTTGCCCTCATGTCTGAGCCCTTTCAGGTCACTGACTTGATTCAGAGGAGGAAGGGCCATCAGGTGTGTTTAATTTGGGGGAAGTGAAGTTTTTAATACAGTGATTGACAACCCCAGAACTGGTACCAGGAGTCCCGCCATGACCTGAGAAGATGAAACGTCGGGGGATGAGAAATGCTGGCTGTATTTCTTAAGTTCTTGCTTTTCCTTGAGTCTGATCTATGATGAACAGAGGTACTTAATTTCAATATATTGGCAAACATCTCCAGAGATCTTTTCCATCATGGAATATATATATATCTTAGTTGCCCTGGCTGGGTAGCTCAGCTAGTTAAGCATCATCCCAATAGGCCAGTGGTTCTCAACCTGTGGGTCGTGACCCCTTTGGCGGTCAAACGACCCTTTCACAGGGGTTGCCTAAGACCATCCTGAATATCAGATATTTACATTATGATTCATAACAGTAGCAACATTACAGTTATGAAGTAGCAACGAAAATAATTTTATGGTTGGGGTCACAACATGAGGAACTGTATTTAAACATCCAGAAGGTTGAGAACCACTGCAATAGGCCAAGGTTGTAGGTTTGACCTCAGTCAGGTAACATACAAGAAGCAACCAATGGATGCAGATATAAGTGGAATAACAAACTGATGTTGTGCTCTCTCGCTCTCTCCTTCACTTTCTCTTCCTCTCTCTTAAAAAGAAATCCATTAAAAAAATAAACTTGGCAAAGAAGAAAATTTCAATGAATTTATCTAGCTTTTCAAGTTTAAAAAAACAATCCAAATTTAAACTGGTTTGTAGCCAACCACCATCTTAAGTTAAAAGGCAGTGAAAAAACTGAACTAATTAAAACCAGCCAAGTAAGGAACAATTTGACTAAAAATTGTTTCCTCTAATCATTAAACTCCTAATTTATGCCATTTTATATACATTATTTATGGCATTTCATCAATTTAAAAACACACTTTTTTTCACATTCTAACATGCATACAGTCAGTACTGCATTTCATTTATAATTGCCAGGGATTATTGTTTTACTTTCCATTGAGTGGAACTTAAAGTGTAAGTGCATTTTAAGATCAAGGGGTCTTCAATTCTATGAAATACAGTATTTCATTTACTGAAGATGGAAACTGTGAGACTTGTAATTAAATTTCTTTTTCTTTTTATAATGCTCATGCCAAACCTCTGCGTAACAAGGGTGCTACATGTTCTGCCTCAGAAATACATGCTTGCATCGTTTGCTAGAGATTACAGTCATTTTTTTTGAGAACAAATGCATCATATTGAGACCAAAGTAGAGAAAGAAACTAGATTTAGAAAAGAAAAATACAATAGACAGTGAGGAGAAATGAAACAATTTCATTTCCATAATTACAGCCTTGCAAAACATCTTCATAGATCCCGGTGAATTTCGGCTAGAACTTGAGCTAATGTGATGGCAAGAGTCCTGGTTTCCAGCCCCCACCTGCTTCTGGGTAATATTCTGGCTTTCCTGAGCCTCAGTCCTGAATCTTAAACAAAGTGATGGCACCGGCACCGGATGGTTGTTGAAATCGGTTCTATTTCTAGGAACCTCTGATAATTCTCATTTAAGAAGACATGCCAATACAGCTCCTACCGGGGTTCACAAAGCCTGACTGCTGCTGGGGCCTCTTGTCTTACCTGTGTGGTCGGTGACTTGCTGAAAGTTTTCATCTACAGAGACACTGCAAGAAACAAAAGTATTGTGAATCAAGCAGTGTGTGTAAATAAGTTAGACCAAATTGCTCTGTAATTAAATAGATGAGAGCAAATGCAGAGCAAGGCTTTATTACCAGAGGACGTTCGGGAAGCCATGAGAAGCCAGGGGCCGAAGGAGTACCCCGTTTTGTACTTTTAAACTGACACATAACTTGTGCAATAAGAGTAACCTATCAAGCACACAGATAAGATGAAAATCCCTATAGGTCACCCCTCACCCCAGCAGGGTTACTCATTGTTTTCATGGATCTTTGCGGGAGAAATGTACAAGGGCACAAACACACACTTACAAGGACCCAGAGTCCAGCCATCGCTGAATACGTTCTTGTTTGGAACCGTCTACAAATGAGAAAGAAACAGTCAGAGCACAGCTAGTTAAAAAGACTCTATTTCATCATTCAGCCACCACCCTGTAGCTTCATTTCCTACATGTTTAGGTCCATGTTTCTATAAGCAGATTCATGTTTTCTGTAATCATCCTTTCCTGGAAATGAAGGATGAACTTGCCAAAAGACTGCAACTTAAAAAAATAAAACCCAAAACATAAAAGGGGAGAAAAAGAAACCACCAAGAGCAAGAGATGTTGGAATCGTGCTGTAATTACCTGGCATGAATGCAGAGGGTGAACAAGCACATGAGACTTGTCTTTCTCTTGTTGAATGGAAATCACCCGGGAGCCCCTCCGATTGAATCGGGACATTTACCTAAGGCAGCTAGCCAGGGATGTTTATTTGCAAGGCTTCTCTGCCAGGTTAGAAACCAAATTTGCATTCATTCCAGGGACAAATTGCACTAGAATCCCAGGATTGCCAAAAGCACCCTGCGTTAAAAAGGCACCAGCCTTTTAAGGTGGATCTTTATCCCCGCACAACAAAGGGTCACCAGGCAGAAAGGAGAGGATGCAAAGACAGCGTTTCCTATTACGGGCTCCAGGCTACTCTAAGCTGACTTTCTTGGACTTGAAACCCTCAGAGAGGTAGCTGAATTACCCCCTCTCAAGGTGTCTGGTGAACCAAAAAGGCCAGTGGGACAGGTAGGTGTTTATTCTTCAGTTGAGGTAGTGTGAACGGTGGTGAACAAAGAAGAAAAACCAGCCTGGCCGGCATGGCTCAGTGGTTGAGCATTGACCTATGAACCAGGAGGTCATGGTTCGATTCCCAGTCAGGGCACAGGCCGGCTCAATCCCCAGTGGGGGTGTGTGCAGGAGGCAGCCTATCAATGATTCTCTCTCATCATTGATGTTTCTATCTTTCTCTTCCTCTCCCTTCTTCTCTGAAATCAATAAAAATATTTAAAAAAGAAAAACCATCAGTTACATTATAGTGGAGGCATTGTTTCCTTCGTTATTACTCTTTAAGCTGTTAAATGATTATTAATGCCTCATGTAAAATCCAGTAAATAAAAGCCTTTGGTTAAAATAATGCCTCATGTCTCTGACACAGACTCCACACAGCTCTGGTATTCTGGGGGGGCTTAGTATGGGGGTACATTGGACTGGGAAGGAAGCCGAGTTTATTCTTTAGTTGGACTGTTTCCATCAAGGTCTTTGAGTGTCTGTAGGGGACGTCAGAAGTGCCCATTTCATAGAAGTTTCTGGCATCATGCCAGGAATGCTGGTATCTTCAAAGCCAAGTCCATGCTCTGAAATTATTTGCCCCCAGACCAAAGCCCCCACATCCCTCACCACCCACAGAAGGGCGATTTCAGACACCCCGAGGGCCCGTCCTCACCTAGCGAGGGCGTGGGGAGACTCTGGCCTTCTTTCTCAGAGCCTGGAGGCGGCTGCTCTTCCAGGGGAGCCCAGGCCCTCTTGGTGGACTGCAGGATGCCTCTCCGGCTCCTCTCCTGGCCTCCTCGAGGGCTGTCAGATCCATGTGGCTTCTCCACCATCATCATTCAGCACACTGATCTCAAAGCAACACAAACCAGACACAATGGGTCAGCTTTGGAGCTTGGCTCAAGGAGAGGGCAAAGGCCAAGATGCTCACAGTCCAACGAGTAGATCCAGGTCACGATCTTTGGTAGCTTGGATCACCCACAAGCCAAGTTCTCTGTTTCAATGCAGAGAAATGGTCCCCTCTCAGTGGAGAGGCAGCTGGAGACCAGGGACTAATGTGGCCTCACCCATCACCAGGCCACATCCACACCCGGGTGGATTGAAGCTGGTTGTCAGGGATGTGGTCAGTGAGCAAAGTTGGCCAAGTGGCTACACCCAGCCACGGAGGAAGCTTAAAAGCACTGATTAACATAATAGGCAGCCTTCAAATCTATCCAACTCTTACATCTTTAAAAAACATTTCTAAAGCCCTAGCTGGTTTGACTCAGTGGATAGAGCATTGACCTGTGGACCAAAGGGTCCTAGGTTCGATTCTGGTCAAGGGCACCTACCTTGGTTGCTGGCTCCTCCCTGGCCCGTGCCCTGGTTGGGGCTCCTGCAACAGGCAACCAATCGATGTGTTTCTCTCACATTGATATTTCTATCTTTCCCTCTCTAAAAATCAGGGAAAATATCCTCAAGGAAGAATTAACAAAAAAAGACCTGAAATATTAAAAAATAAATGAAGACCTTGGCAACAGATCAGCCTAGCCACTTGTTGTGTGGCCTTGTATAAATAATATAACCCCTCTTCATTCCCTTAATTTTTAATGGCAGATAAATGGTACTGAATGTTAACAACTGTTAACCTCAGTGCAGTGCTTCTTATGTGCTAGATTCCATTCTGAGTTCTCTGCATATATTATTTAATCTAATTGTTAATGAAGGAATTTGTCACAATTTTATAGTAAATTGAAGAACAAAGAGGTTAAGTTGCAAATCCAAAGCCACATAGGCACCAGGATTCAAATCCAGGCCTTGAACTCCAAGCACGTTCCCATGACTCTGAAGCTGTACTATCCACTCTAAAGGGTGTTTTGGACAATTCAAATACTGGTAAATATATTATGCACATGGCACAAGAAAGGTAGGCTGCCCCAATTACTTAATTTGACATTTATGAGGCTCGAACAGCAAGAGAAGGAGAAAGAAGCTTAGAGCAGCTATGGAAATTGTTTAAACTCCTGAGACTATTGGCATGTTGAAAAGAACAATGCCTCCCTCTAACCCACTGATGTGTCTGTAGTACATACATGGCTGAATTCTCAGCACATAGTAGGTGCTAAGTAAATATGTACAAAATCAAATAGCAAAGCTAGGGCTCAAAACCACTCTTTCTGACTAAATCCTTGCATGTCATCTACTTGAATTTGCATTAGATTATTGTTTAAGCTTAGAGAAATGACCAAGTAGTCAAATACCCACTTTACCAGCGTGTCTTGCATCCCTAAACTTAGGTATAACTCCTGATCACATGACTTGCAGACCAGCATTTCGAATCAACGTTTCAACAAGGCATGTCATTCAGGTTTATTGTAAGCATCTGAATATTCTAAGTATAGGTGAGCATTCTAGGTGCAACTGGCACTAAGAGTCTCCTTATATGCTTCATCTATTAAAATTCTATCATCCCTTGGGAGTATAAATATACCATTATTGTTGCAATAATAAATTACTGCAAAAATTAATGACAATTGTGATGACTATTCATTTTGTGTAAAAATAGCAATCATAGGAAATTTCAATTAGTTAAAAATTTGGGCAGCAGGTGGATAGTTAATATATATACTAGCAGTGAGCATTTTAGCCATCAGAAAGTTAACTAGGAATATATTCTGGGGGAAGGTAAGTGCTTATAAAAATTTCAATGATGATACAGGACAAAACTAACACAGATTAGATTATATTTCTAACCTTTATAGAATTGCTTGGTACACTAGAATTCATAACAGCAGACAAAAACAACCTTTAGAAACTGTGTTTAATTTTCAATTACTTAATTTTGCATAAGCTACGGGTCTTTGGAGGAAAGACAGTTCTCTTTGGCAATGTCGTGCATCTTGTGCATGTGAATGATAATCAGAGCATCAACTCTGACAGTGCAAATGTCACCAGAAGGGAAAACTCCAAAATCACACTAAACATTCACAAAATATCAGATTCAATAGAGGATCGGGGTTTGAGTAAAGGTATAATGCATCATGGAAAAATAAAACCCCAGAATAATCTTGCTCTTTCACTAACCTGGGCTGGAAGTCAGCTCCTATGTAGGAGGAGAGATTTGCTCTGTAGTGGGAGCAGGAGCTGCCTAGCAGCTGACAGTCCTCAAATCGCTGCTTCCGGACTATCGTGTCAAATTTTAGCCTGGCCACCACTTTTTCCAAATATAACACTAAAAACCATCAAAGGTTTAGATTCAAGTGCAGCTTTATTGGTGCGTCCCCAGACTTGCGCTCCATGGTGGCGGATTTGTTCTCAGCCACTGGGCTTGCACGGCCATGAGGGTAGCCCCCTGCCAGCTCAGCTGGACTTGGCTTTTAGCAGGAAAAAGCCTGCGGGAAAAGCAGAAATTCTTGTTAAAGGCAAAGGTCAGGGGTCAGTTTGTAAAAAAACCTCTTTGTTGCCTCTAACTCAGTGGGTGCCTTCCCACTTGGTAAACAATCTGCTTCTGGAAACAGAGTCTCCGATGCTTGGATGCCCTTCCTCTGGCTTCCATGGTGTGACCTCAGAGCAGCCCTTTGGAAAGGGACACAGAGCAGGTGGCAGCCCAGAACTGCCCACAGACTGGCAGGGTGGACGTGATGGCACGTGGTCTCTGGTGATCCCTCTGGTTAACCGCTCTGTCCTCAGGACATTTGGAACCAAACGTGAATCCTCATCTTGGACCCTGCCCCCTGTGCAGCCTCTTCTCTCCAGATTATTTCTACCCTGATTACTACGTCATTAATCCTTATGTGTACAAAGAACTCCCATTAATGTGTGAAATTTCTTATCATATTTCATTAAAAAGAGAGAATGCAAAACTACATATGCACTAATAACTCAATTTTGTAAAAAGAACTAAACCAACAAGCAATGTATTAAAACGTTATCAAAGTTTTGAAAATTTAAAAAGAATCAAAATGAGAAAAAAGGCTTTGTCACATTAATTTTACATCGTGTATGCTTTCACTTGAGTGAACTGAACCAACCACACTCCTTTTTACTGTGAAGCCTTCGGCTTACAGCGAAATCACAGAACTTGGTGCTTTGATACTTAAAGCAGCGATGATGATTCCATTCCTGTCCTCCAGAGCTAACGTTTTGCACCTCTATGCAAACAGGTTGCCAATGAGGTTGTTCATACTGGAAAATAGGGGCAGTGCTTTCTTTCTTTATCGTCATGTCCCCATAGATCCCGGCACAGCTCTTTGCCCAGGGGGAAGAGTCTGTAACTATTAGTTGACTGCTTGGTTCTTTGGGAGAGAAACATCCAGTTGTCGTAGCCAGTATTCTTGGTTTTTATGTGGTTAAAAGAATAAGTGCTTTCAGGTCAGGTAATTCCAGATTTTAATCTCAGCTCTGCTGCTTCCCTGACATCTCCTTGGGGAAATTTTCAAACATCTCTGATCATATACTTCTTCATCTCTGTAATGAGTATGAAATAACCATTCCATAGGGTTTTGGGAAAATTTAATGAAAAATGTCTACAAAAGAATCAATGCCCATATTGGTCAATTTTTATTTCCCCCTTTCCCTCTCTTCTCTGTGTTGCCTCCTGTCATTGTAATGACAAGAACTGTCAAGTAAAGGAGAAGAATTGCCAATTAATGCAATAGTTTTTCTCATAGTAGATACATTTGACACTCTTAGTGTTTGGATAACCTGGGTATTTTGAGATCACTTAGTTTAGGTAATTGAGAAGTTGAAATACTTGGAGAATGTGAGAATAAGATATTTCTGCAACCATGAGAACACAGATTTCCCTGAGACAATTAAAGGCTCAAATCAAAGTCTGGAAATTCTATTGACTATCAATTAAATTTAAAGGTGACAATGATAGGCTGAAGCTCTAGCCTGGCCACCACTTCTGAGGGACCCCTTGGTCAAGAAGAAAACAGCATAATGGAAGAACATCCCCAAGGCGTTCTGAGTCCACAGGGATCTCAGCACCTTTATGTCCCCACCACAGATCCTCAGTGCCATAGCCTCTGCTCAAGCCTTCATAAAATCTCAAACGGTGTCCAGCTTGCCTTGCCCCCCTCCATCCTCCACATACAGTGACTTCCCCAGGGGCAGGATGTAACAGAATTCTGCATAGAGTCATGTGCTCCAGGAGACCCACCCCCTTCCCCAGCTGTAATACCACTCATAGAAGTTTTAAAAGGAAGCCTCCAGAACCCTTCCTGCTCTTGAAAAGATGATTACTATAAACCCAATACCATTCATCTCCCTCCATACACTAACTAAACAACCAGTCCTAAGAGACCTGATTCACACTTCTTACCTCAGGAGACCATAAGACTAACCCCATCATGCCTTACAGCCATGCTCGTATGGCAGTGAACATTGCCTCAGCTGGTCCAGTCTTCCCCGCTTCCCAGGCTCTTCCAACCCCCGAGCCCTCTGGAATTCACATATTGTCACCTTCCAAATCCCTTTTCTCCTGAGCTCTTCACTGAACATCCCGTTACTGCCTTCCTCTAATTGGAATGCGGGCATCACTTCCTCTGTCAGTCTCTCAAGATGTGGCTTTTTCTTTGATCGCCCATTGAATTGGGACCATAGTCTTAGAGACGGTGTAAATTTCATCCATGTCCATCATAGCTGCTTGCAGATGTTGTGCCCTTCATTCTCTGAAGCACATACATCAGACTATGTAGGCATCCGCATCTAGGACATTTGCCTCCTTTACTGAAAATTATAAAATGGTTTTTCTGTTATCTTTCTGGAAGATTTAATTACCCATCTAGATGACCCAACAACATCTAACTTCTCAGTTCAATAATTTGCCCACTTCCAACAATCTTTCCCTCTACTGATTTCCATGGTCAAACTTCATCACTATCAGTGAACACCTTCCAAAACCCCAATTTCAAGCATCCCTTCTATTTTACTCACAAACTATACTTGGGCACCATCTCACCTCCCCCACAATGCACACACACACACTGGATCATTCTCTTCAGCTTTAAACATGCTATAATATTTCCCATCTTAAAATAGTGCTCCATTGACCCCCTTAATCTTTAACTCCTACTCTAGTTCTCTATTAAACAGATGGTGATTCCCAAGTTCAGATGTTCAAATCTGGTCCAGAGCTTCAGAACAGGGTCCCTGAGCCCCTTCTGAGGCCTCTGAAGTTATTTGCCATCTCTGTAGAGGACTATAGACATC